TAAACTAAAAATTAAAGCTTCAACCAATACATCCATACATACTAATACTAATATTATAAATGTGAAAGTGTGTTTGTTTGTTTGTCTTTCTTTCACGTCGAAACGAAGTGACGGATTGACATGATTTTTTGTGTGGAGATAGTTGGAGGGCTGAAGAGTGACATAGGCTTTTTACCGCGGGAGATCATCTATACAGTAAAATAAATACCTACGTGTTTTAGCAATTTTAAAAGTTCATCTCATAAGGGGGTAAAATAGGGATTGAAAGGAAATGCAATCTATTTTTTAGAGTTTTTCTGTAGTTTTAGCGCAAGCGAAGCCGCGAGTTCTGCTAGTAAACAATAAATTCGTTACGTCATGTAATATATATAATAAATATTTTTATATATTTACTGGTCATAAAATGGCGATAAATGTGCAATATTCAATTTCATGATACTATTACCACACCGACTGTGGAATATTTCAATTTTCAATGTAATTTCATTTTAAAAATCAATTCGAATTCCAAAGACTCCATCTGACTGAAAGTTTTCAAATGAAAATTAGTTTTTTTTCTATTTAGCTATAAATTAATACAATTTTTAATGAACATCAAGAGTACAATTCGGGAAGAAATAGCTTTAGTCCTGAAAAGGACTGGGGCGTTCCTGAAAGAAACTCAACGAGACTAATAAACTATTATCATTTTTTTTAATCTATACATATAATAACATTGTAACCGAGTCGAATCTGTACCTATATTTAATATTTTTTGGAAAATCTTATTGAAATAGACATTATTATCGATACAGAGGCCGAATCTATAGTTTTTAGAATTTCCGTTTGTCTGTCTGTGACCGCATCAGGAAAAAACAACTGGACAGATTTTAATGAAGTTTGGTATGATGATAGCTGGTTGTCCGGGTCAACGTATGAGATACTTTTTAGTGCGAGAAAATATCTGATTTCTGAGGATAAACGTTAAAACGTAACTAGGGATGAACCTGACTGAAGCGAGAGTGAGTCGCTAGTAAAATTATAAATTACAATAACATTGAATGAAACTAAAACTGGACTAGAGTTGAGAATCATCATTTTTTACTTTTAAATTGCTGTAACAGATATATTATGTTATGAATTCACTAGAAAAATATAGTCTTTCATTGTCGTAATTTCACTATTAAGATATTCGTAATGATAACCTTGCTATCATTATCTCATTTTCTAATGTTTTACAAGTTGTGAAACAAAAAATTTTTTTTCAGAAACACGAACGTACGTACTTTTACCAATGAAGACCTCAAGACCTAATACAATGAAAGCATGTTTCCTCGTATACATAGATATTAAATGTAAATTGCCATTGTTTTTGACCTGCGACAACCGAGCATTTAATTATTTCAAATAGAAACAGTTAAGATATATGTACTACTACATACATATAACATTATATTATTATACATATAATAAAATTGTAACTAAGCCGAATCTGTACATTAAATATTTCTTGAAAAATCTTATTGATATATGACTTTATTATCGATACAGAGGCCGAATCTATAGTTTTTAGAGTTTTTGTCTGTCTGTCTGTCTGTCTGTCTGTCTGTTACCGCATCACGAGAAACCCACAAGATAGATTTTGACGAAATTTAATATGATGATAGCTGATTATCCGGGTCAACATATAAGATACTTTTTATTGCGGGAAAATATGTCATCTCTAAGAGATCTATACTAAATGTTAAAACGGAAGTAAGGACGAACCCGAGCGGAGCGAGGGTAAGTCGCTAGTATTATATATATTAGAAACTAAAGACCTATACATATCGCTTAAAACCTTAGGATTTGGTTCACTACGTTACATTCTTAAATAACTACGAATTGACGCCAATATAAATAAGAATATTTTTAGGTGTTTTTTGCAGTTATTACTAATTATATATTTCTATTTTATATCTTTTCCACAACCATACTTGCATTTCAATCGAAAAAATCTCATAAAAAATCTTACAAAAATCTCATAAACAACTTTTTGTGCAAAAAATCATGTAGATTCGAAAATAGATACGTAAGGCTCGTTGATGTGGCAACAAGCTTGTATGGCTGCAGATCCAGAGGTAATGTGTTCGAGTTCCGAGACCGGTCAAATATAGGTAATTACTGGGTTACCTGTTAAGACATTTTTTAGCTAGACTTAAGAAGTTGGCTGGCTTACACTCTCGGTTCCTGGGGAGGTCTTAATCTTCTTTCTTGGGAAGTTAAGTTGCTCGTAGATAATATTACCGACTTCCAACTAAGGAAGAACTCGCGGGTTCCATATCCGCTTGAAATAGATATTTATGTTTCATCTAACGGTAAAACCACGTACATACCTATATGTCTCAAAATTTCTAAGCGACCGATGAAGAATTTTCGCAGATTTGTTTCATTTTTTATCCATACAGTTTTTTTTTAATTTAATTTTTCACATGATGAATGTGAACTTAAGCATCTAGCCTTTTCAGGCGCAAGAGTCTTTAAAAGGGAAACAATTGTATTGGAAAAGTGCTTTTCAAAAACTGGAACTTAAATTTTAATATTATAACAAAACATAATATTTTCTTAGCAACATGTACCTATCACTGATTATAGATATTTTTTTTTATTATTTAATAAAAGTTTTTCCGAGGTAAGTTCATAATTTGAATTAATGAATATCCAAAGGTCTGTATTATACGTACTTTAAATAAACACAAAAAGAGCACATATCTATTTTTTAACAATCGATTAAATGAATCTTGGCTATTCACAATGCATTTTTTTGTCCCAATTTACCGCCAAAACATTGCGCTGATGCACATGTGAGTGCACACGTGAATCTATTTACGTAGCAGTTTATTTTTAATCTTTATAATGTATATCCTCTTTAAATATCAAAGAGGAAACATATGACGTACGTATCAACAAGATCAAACTTGCAAATTTTCGTTACGTTGATACGATTAGAAAACCGTTTGTTGTTGTGTACCGTGAAAATGTCGTTAGTCTATCTATATCCTCATCTTATAAATTGAAAAAAAATGTTTGTTTGTATCGAATACGCTCCGAAACTATTGAACCGATTTAGATGAAATTTGGTAAGAACATAGTATGAGACCCTGGGAAGGCCCTAGGGATGAACCCGAGCGAAGCGAGGGTGAGTCGCTAGTAAGATGTAAAAGCTTCGACTTTTTATTTAGTTTTCGGTATCTAGTTGATTTTCTAGCAATGTTAAGTGTTCATTGTAATTTCATTTGTTGTGTCTTGTGTTTAATATTCATTGTGTAATTACTTCAATAGGTACTTTATTACACACTAGCGACTCACCCTTGCTTCCCCATACTAACTTTCATCACCAATTTTACCCCCTTAAGGGATGATTTCCGGAATAAAAACTATCTTATGTTCTTCCCAAGGTCTCAAACTATCTTCTTACCAAATTTTATCTAAATCGGTTTAGTAGTTTCGGAGCCTATTCGGTACAAACAAACAAACAGACAAACAAACAAAAATATGTTTCCTTTTTATAATATTAGTATAGAGTAACATTTCAATTTGTTGTCAATTTTGTTACAGATCATTTTGCTATAACTAATTATTAAAGTAAAAATTAAAAAAAATGTCAAAAAGAGCTTAAGCCGAATCGGAAATGGGTTGTTTGTTTATTTTGCTAAATGAGCTAAGGCTAAAGTGTATTCTAATTTTAAAATACTTTTGACGTAAACATATCGCACTACAAAACTACGCACGAGGTAATAGATTCGATCCTGCACGAAAACAAGTTATATGGACCAAAAAAAATTGTTATTTGTTAAATTCCGGTTAAAATATGCAAAGCTACATAATTTCGATTCTTTTAAAGAACCAATTAGTTATAGTGTCACCAGAAATTATTTTAAATTTAGTTTTTCTTTCTATGTAAATCTTTATATCACTCTTATGTTTATATAAACTTTTACCCCGAAGTGCGAAACAATTTTTGTTATATCACTGTCACAGGTCAATCGAATTTAAAAATATGCGCGAGATAACTTCATTCAAACACGAGATAGAAAGAAAAAAATTAATCACAATTAATTTTGCCATTAAACACTCACTATTCCAGTACAAAATCCTTGCGCACAACCTGTGTTTTCACTAAAAGAAATCACTGATACCAATTTTAATACAAACTGACACATTTCAAAAATTAAAGTCGACGAAATGAGTGACCTTTGCATTAAAAAAATCTAATTTCATAGACGAAACGTAATATTAATTAATTTGATGATTATCATGTCGATCACTAAATATTCATAGTAACATACCGATGCTACCGATCAAGTACTGCCGCCACTTTTGACCCTCCTCCATTTTGTACGGCTGCTTACAAACTGAGCTCTCGACCGACTCTAACGATACTTATCTCGCTGTATTGTCGCGACTCAAATGTATCATTATTATATCAAAGCTGTACTTGACACGGTCGTAGCAGCTACATATTTTAAATTTTAATTTGTTATTTACATTAAATTATTAGCTCCACGACAGACTCCTGTCCCAATTTCCAAATATTTATTTACGAACATCCACCTAACGTATTGTGATCTACGTTTTTGCCAAATTTCATCGATATTTGTTTAGTTTAAGCGTGAAAAGGCACCAAACAGAGAGAGTTACTTTTATATTTTTAATATTTGAGAATCCTACAGATTATTATTAACTGGCTTTGACTAGGTACTTTTAAGATCATCGGACTCGATCCCTAGAAAATAATAGTAAAAAGGGAATATTTGTAATATATTGCCCCGTCATACATACATGTGTGCATATCATTACCCCGCCTGATTATGGCAAGGCACAGCCCAAGGCTACATACGCTACGGTTATTGCTTTCCATAAAGCAAGCTGTATGTATGTTTACCACCGTTGTGGCATAAAAAAGTTTATTAATAGCTACGAAAACAGCGTGAAGCGTGAAACTCTACTTACAAATATATTTAAAAAAACATTTAACTTACCGACAGCCCCAATTAGATACTGCCTCCAGAGCTGACCTTCCATATTGGATGAGCTGTGTCCGTTATTTCCCGCTACCGGGTCGTATGAAAGCCTATCTGCCATCTGACGTCACTGCGTCGGGGACACGCGATGTTCCCAATCTGAAACAATTAGATTTTTGTTTTTACGATCAAAGAAGTTAATAGTTGCCCCTAGCACATGAAGAAATACCTCTACAGAGACAAAAATTTCATACAAACATCGATGTTATTCTAATTACCTACTAACACAACGTAGCGGTGTGTAAATTTTCTTTTGGAGTTACCTGTTCAGCTTGAAATTGTCAACAGTTCGAGCCGGAAGAATCGTTTTTGTTAATGGGCAACGCGTAGGTGAACTCTTCGGTGAGTTGACACACAAACCGCCACTTTATTAAGAGGTACTAGAGTAGGTAGCAAAAAAATATGAAAAGAGGTACTAAACCTAATCTAACTCTGTAGAGATACTTGAATCCGCAATGTCCGTATCCGAACGTCCGCATGTTTGTCCGTAAATCTGTAGAAACGTATAATTGTATCTAATCATAAATATAAGTAAATAAACTAAGATAATTAATTAGGTATACAAATTATTTAGAAAAGTTCTTCAAAATATATTTAAAATAGAACATATTTTTAACCGAGTTCAAAAAAGAAAAGTAACTGGGTTGGTTTATTTTTTTTTCTACATCGATTATTTTTCTTTTTCATTATCTTCGTAGTTACGTAAAGTATGAACTGTTAATATTTTGATAGTTTAGACATAGTTATATGAAAGTAGCAATCGTGAAATATTTTAATGCAGAAATGACTTGTATAGTAACTATTTAATATACCTTCATCTGATTCAAAACCTAAAATTTTTACTTTTTAAATAAAACTATCTTTTCGGATTTTGTCGCGGATTTATTTGCATTTTTGTTTCCCGACGTTTCGAATGCTTTACAGCATCCATGGTCACGGGAGAGACTGAGGTGTTACATGTCTTGGAGGTATAGTTGTTACAGACAGCCTACCCACAATTAACAAAATGGCTGTAAAAATGCAAATAAATCCGCGACAAAATCCGAAAAGATAGTTTTATTTAAAATGTCAAATATTCGCGTAAATCTAAGAAAGTATTACTAAAATTTTCACTTTTGACCCTTTTTTTGGTAACTTAGTTTGTTATAACGTATCAAAGAGTGATTCAAGACGATCATGTTGCAGAAAAAGAAACCATTTTTTTAATATTAAACAAGTTATGATTTTTTTAATTTGCTCCGGTAGAAAATTCGCAAATACACATTAAAAAAATCATAACTTCTAAACTACGAAAAGTCGCGGAACATACATGGGGTATTTTCGAATACACCCAGATTTGAGGAATCTAAAAAAAAATTTATGACGTCACCTCTTGCGACCATCCTGTATAAATAAGTTTATCTGTAATTTCATTTTTTTTCTAGATTTTTCCTTAATCTTATAGCAATACTTAATATCAGCAATGCTCTTATTAGCAGTACTTATCTATACCTAATCACATTCTATCATAATAATTATTACACTGTACGTGACATGGGCGAAATAAATAGTGCCTCACTGTCACGCCATGAAAAAATTAAACAAATAAATTTTATAGAATATTTATGAGACACGTTTAAAAGCCATTAAGAAAGAATTGAATAAAATATATAAAATAAAATGGCCTTTATTCTCTGACCAATTATAAAATATATTTTTTTTACTCTTCTTTATTATAGTTTAAAACAAAAACAAATCTATCCCACGGGCACCGTACATTTTTCCGGGATAAAAACTGTAATGCCTATGTGTTATTCCAGACTATAATCTATCACTGTGCCACAGATCCGTCCAGCCGTTCTGTCGTGAAAGAGTAACAAACATCCATACTCACGAACTCACATTTACAATATTAATCCCTCAACGACCGCGGACACGCCGGCGTTACAGTTAACAATAGATTTCTTCGAAATTTAATTAATTTCTTAGAAATTTACCTGGAGGTGGTACGGATATGTATTATTTTATTTTTAAATTACAACACAAACAACAAAATAACGATAATAATAGTAAATACACAAATAAAGTTTCCACAAACAAACAATTCATTTAGTAAAAGAGTATAGAGTTAACAAAACAACGACACTTGAATTATATTGAACAAAACATTGAAACATTAATAAGATATGAAGCTAAATTATAAATTTTTTAGAAGAAGTACATTTCTAATTTTTCTTATAATTTTCTAAAGTCAATATCGTTAAAGTGAACATTGAAAATTGAAATCATGACTGGACCTACATATATATATATATATATATATATATATATATATATATATATATATATATATATAAATATAAAATTAATAGATAGGAGTCCACAAAATTATTAATTATTTTATATAAAACATTTGGTCTTTAAATAAACCGTAGAGAGAGGCACCTAAAGTTCAAATCTATACTAATATTATATAATAAATGCTATGCTAGCAGTCTTTTAATTCATCTAATTACTACCCAAGTATTATATATAAAAAATCAGCTTTTATACTATAACGTAAGTAGAATTATGATTTCATGAAAAGGGTGTCTGGCAAGGGTTTGCCACGATGTTAAGTGTCTGGCATTGAGTGACGTGATTTTTAATATTATTCTGAAGGTAATACCAAAAAATCACACTTTATCATTTGACGAATTTAGATCGGTATTTTACACACCTTTAGTACCGTGTACCTGCCAAAGCCACCATAGCCTGAACTTCATAATGGTGCATCGTTCTTATCTGTTGGGAGCATGCGCTGACAAACTTTCAGCCTTTATAAAATGACGAAGGTCTGGCGTTCACAGGCTCTTAGGCCATTATAAATTTGAAAGTTTGTGAGTTTGTACAAATTGTCCTATCAACAAATGGGTCAGGTATTTTCATTTCAAGTTTACAAACGAACATGGTGACTGCGTTCATTTATTTCTCACGAGTTTAACACTACTTCTATTTACACGTGTACTTTATATAACTATACATCACAGATTACTGTATTTATAAAGTACTGATGTGTTAGTGGCATTGCCAAGAAAAAAATAATTCATATGCATTATATAAATAATCTATACATATAATAAAATTGTAACTAAGCCGAATCTGTACATTAAATATTTTTTGGAAAATCTTATTGAAATAGATGGCTACAGACATGACTGGCTGCACAACAACACAAACAACAGTAATTTGAATTTTAATCGCGTGAAACGAACATTTATAAGAATAAGATATTGCGGAAAGCAAGACATGGGCGCTGTGTTTTCCTATATGCATTTATTTAATAGTATAGAGTATTTTGAATTCTATCCGTATTTATTGAGATTGACAAAATAAATGAACATGTTGTGATTTAAAAGTGGAACAGTAATAGCATATAATCTACTCTCATGAATGCCAGTTTGTTTGTATGTATGTTTGTTAGCCTTTCACAATGAAATGGCTGAACAGCTTTAGATGTAATTACAGTACAGAAATAGACCATGATCTGGAATGACACATAGGCTACTTTGAATCATAACAATTGCCAAAAGGTGATATGGACTGTGCCTATATATCACATAATATTATAAATATGAAAGGCGTCGTAAAAATAAAGGGACGTATTCGAACGAAGCGAAGGTAAGTCGATAGTATCAATATTATAATGATAATTTATCGTCCGCATAATAAAAATAAACTTTTACATCATAGTGTGTTTATCAGATAATGGGTTTAACTCTATCAGTGAACATGCTTTATAATCTGCATTAACAACGAATTTAGATAGACATTCGACATATTACTCACGCTATATTATTATTCAATTCAATTCTTTTCTTTCAATGGCTTCTAGGAACGTTATATTATATATTACGAGTACTAACTAGCCACCAGTGGCGAAGCGTCCATACAAGACGTCTTACCTTAAAATTATTTTGCTATAATTTTACATACATTTAATTTTTAAATGTTCTTTTGGAAATATATATATATATATATATATATATATATATTTCCAAAAGAACATATATATATATATATATATATATTTCCAAAAGAACATTTAAAAATTAAATGTATGTAAAATTATAGCAAAATAATTTTAAGGTAAGACGTCTTGTATGGACGCTTCGCCACTGGTGGCTAGTTAGTACTCGTAATATATAATATAACGTTCCTAGAAGCCATTGAAAGAAAAGAATTGAATTGAATAATAATATAGCGTGAGTAATATGTCGAATGTCTATCTAAATTCGTTGTTAATGCAGATTATAAAGCATGTTCACTGATAGAGTTAAACCCATTATCTGATAAACACACTATGATGTAAAAGTTTATTTTTATTATGCGGACGATAAATTATCATTATAATATTGATACTATCGACTTACCTTCGCTTCGTTCGAATACGTCCCTTTATTTTTACGACGCCTTTCATATTTATAATATTATGTGATATATAGGCACAGTCCATATCACCTTTTGGCAATTGTTATGATTCAAAGTAGCCTATGTGTCATTCCAGATCATGGTCTATTTCTGTACTGTAATTACATCTAAAGCTGTTCAGCCATTTCATTGTGAAAGGCTAACAAACATACATACAAACAAACTGGCATTCATGAGAGTAGATTATATGCTATTACTGTTCCACTTTTAAATCACAACATGTTCATTTATTTTGTCAATCTCAATAAATACGGATAGAATTCAAAATACTCTATACTATTAAATAAATGCATATAGGAAAACACAGCGCCCATGTCTTGCTTTCCGCAATATCTTATTCTTATAAATGTTCGTTTCACGCGATTAAAATTCAAATTACTGTTGTTTGTGTTGTTGTGCAGCCAGTCATGTCTGTAGCCATCTATTTCAATAAGATTTTCCAAAAAATATTTAATGTACAGATTCGGCTTAGTTACAATTTTATTATATGTATAGATTATTTATATAATGCATATGAATTATTTTTTTCTTGGCAATGCCACTAACACATCAGTACTTTATAAATACAGTAATCTGTGATGTATAGTTATATAAAGTACACGTGTAAATAGA